ACTATCTTCATAGAAACAACTACCATCATCATGATCAATGGGCCATAAAGCGTTGTAATTATTGAAGAGAGTATTATGATGAATATAACTTTCATGCTGCCAGAGTGAAGGTACGTCATGTTGCACTGCATCACTCAAAAATGGTTGTCGATCCCATGTGTTGATTGGCCCATGGTCACTAGTTTCTCGCACAGTATTGAATATGACATTCCAACTAATAGTATGATTACCATAGAAACCATCATTGATATTGATTGCCGCTCGTGGTATATTGAACATGAGATTACCGACGACAGACACACTCCTACTTATAGCAATCAATACTGGTGATGACTGTTTGATATAGATACCAGTCTCATGTATGAGATTGGACTGTATGAGTATATTGTCAGGTTGACTAGCGATACTAAAGCCATCAATTCCATACGTACTACCAACAAGTATGATAGCCGAATCAGTCAACCATACAAATTCATTCAAAGTAAGAGAGGTAGCAAAGTTATAATCAATTAAAGCCACACCATTACTGCCCAATTGTGTGAATAAATTGTGTGTAATAGTGACATATTGCGTGTTTCTCAAATACATAGTGCCACCTCGATGAACAGCCCAATCACCACCACCTGGTACCATATAATCTCTCATATAGGTACTACTTGTCTCTGTTAGTATCAAACCTCGTATTAGTACATTTTTGACAGAATCTTCGATACTACTACCAATGATGGAAATGAGACAAGGAATTTGACTGGCCACAAAAACGTCAGGCATAGTTTCGTTGGGCATAAAATAGAGAGTACGAGTATCTTTGTCCAAGAACCATTCATTTGGTGAATCAAGCTCTTCGAAAATGTTTGCAACATAAAATGCACCACCAGCATCCGAACCTCGTGCTTCTTGAAATCCTCCTCGGGCAAACATAATGGTATTTTCGGTAGTATTGATCGATGCTATTTCGAATACCCAACTACCCCAATAACCAGCATGAAAAGCATGCACGAAACCAGTCGTAGGCTTACTCCAATTACCAATATGAGGCATGGCACCACTTTTCACGGTAAGACCACGAGGAACAACATAATTATCGCCTGCAGGTGGTGAAGCTGTACTCCAAAAATTGGTAGGTGGATTAAAAACAGCAGCACCACCACCTACACCAAGTTGATAATTTGTAAATACTGTGCCGTTACGATAAGGTTCTTGTACACGAATTTCTACACTTGGATTAAAACTCGGTGGCCACCATCTTTGCGCATCAAAAGAGAATCCAGGATCTTTGGCATATACGCCTTGAGTAGAAGGATCACCATTAGGATATTTAGCGACAATAGCTCTCCTGCCATCGATATATAACTCGTTAAAATCGTCGAGTTTAACATAAGATGGTATCTGAGCTTTCATGATTGTACCACCAGCTGCTGTTTTTGCATGAACGGACCATTGCAGTTGTAATAATGTGCCACCACTCAATACGACGCGCTCATCCTGATAGTTTTCGATTACAAGATTACTATCATTACTTGTCAGTGCGATCGCACCAATTTGACTACTAGTCGTAGTAACATTCGTACCAAGATAGTAGGTTCCTCCACGTATGCTAATACACAGTGTATAATCACTATTGTGCATAGTACGCAGAGTTCGCGTGAGAGTTAAAGCGGCTTGAATAGTTTTCATAGGTCTTTCGAACGTTCCATCGAACAAGTCATGACCAGTTACACTATGTACAAACACTGTGCGATAACAAATATCTTTTGTAATTTCCGGCGCTGTCTTGGAGGATTTACTGGTGCTGGACGATTGATAAGTACGGTATGTCATTTTATTGCATTCATTCATTTGAAAGGCACTTTCACTGAGTGCTGTCCAATTACTTTTCCAAAATGAAGGTGCAATATAGGTAGCCATCTCGATTGTAAAGGCTCGAAGCGCACAATCATGCTCGGGAACGACATTTGGATTACCGACTCTACCATAGCGAGGATCAATTTTAGTGAAACGGTCTGATGTACAATCGCTATCCGGCCAAATAATTATACTGTGTGAGACGTACACCAAAACTATCAATGCCAGTAATATAAAAGAGAAATATATCTTGGTTTTATTGATGCCGATGACCTATAGCAAACGAAGGAGAATATATATATATTTTTCTTTCGTAATAAACGATCCCCTATCCAGTGTATACATACATGATAATATAACTCATGGTAGGATGTACGTCGATAATATGAGACGTAGTTCATTTACTGCAGTTATATGAAATACACTCTGTCTTTCAAAATAAGATTTCTCGTTAAATAATTTTTTTCTATGGTATTAATAATTAGAATGATAATAAATGAAATTTAAAAAATGCAGTTCCTTGGAAGACAAGATATGAAGAATTCTTTGAAATGTACGTGCCGATAGACCAATTAAAAAAATCCGTAATTTAGAATCTAATCGATCGATATTAGTTTCCTAGTTAAAATATTGATAATTGTATATACTTACCGTTATTTTTGTTTGACGATTGAGATAATTATCTTGCATGAAATACGATTCCTCTTTTAGGCGATGACTGTATTTTGTTTCATGTGTTTTACAAGGTAAATTATAAATAGTACATAAATAGCTGTGTATCTTATCCATATGAGCAATTTCAACCAGGAATATGAATAAACAAATAAATACTTAATAAAAAAAAAATGAAACTGCACAATCGTTCTGTCGTTTGCACGTGACACTGTTGCGTTCTTCATTACTTAATATATTTATAAATACGTTAGAAAAAATAAAATGGCAAATGGTGCAAAAAATAAGCCAATAGCATGATGGTTGCTGTATAATCGAATATGAGTGGAGTCGCTCCTTGTTCTCTCTCGAATGGGCACCAAAGAAACGTGCATCAATACTTTGGTTCTCTAAAAACAGTTTGAAGAAACTTTCTCTGAATATGAATACATAGTAAAAAAAAATGAACTATTTTTCTATGGTATTTCATCATTATTCAACTAATATCATAATAATAAAATTTTGTTTGTTCTAATATGTGAGGGTAACAACAATACTCATTTCAAAGAAAAGGTAGTGAATATTTTTAGAATAACTCCTATTAGAAACAAGATAGAGAACTGCGATTTTCACCGTTGAAAAGAAGAGATGACGACTCATCGAATCGTACATTGTATTCGACTAGCAGTCTAAATGTCTTTCCAACGATGAAAATCGCAGTTGTCTATCTTGTTTGTATCAAGAGTTATTCTAAAAATACTCACCCCCTTTTCTTTAGAATAAGTATTGTTATATATCAGAACAAACAAAATTTTACCATTATGATATTAGTTGAACAATCATGAAATATCATAGAACAATGAATCATTCTAAACAGAATATAAAATGATATGATATAGGTGTTATGATTTCGATTTTTTATCTCGAGAATGAATAAAATATTATCAAGAGAAACTAGCGATGGTATGCCCCATTCTGAGTTTGTGGGACATTAACTCAAACAAGGTCCCATTTTATATATCAAAAATCACATTAGCAACAAAATAATCAAAAGGCATGTGTAGTAGATAATTGTTACGTATGTTTGTCACCTCCCATGAATGCTGATTTTTCTCCAGAGGCGAAAAAATTTTCCTGATCTCGAATATTCAGTGAGTTTTCCAAAAACTCAAAAGTGAAAAGCAAAAGAAACTAGACTGTCACTCGAGTAGAAAAGGGTCGGCTGACTGCACGTGCCCGAAAAAGTCAGAAGATGATCATAGACTCTCGTAGAGTATTGCTATATTAAGAAACTCTCAGCTATTTATTATCGATCTTCGTATCTCATTTCTATAAGCCATCTCAATATCTTTCTAAACATTCAAGATTTCTTCATGAATGAATTTAAGTCATACAGTACGGTAATTAAAATGCATATGCATATATGATCTGAAATATCAATGTTCTCTTTAAGATTGAGTCATATTTGACCATATAAGGAAACTATCAGATGTTAACTATCGTTTTCTGAATTTTGATAGCTCTCGAATAAAATCGAATTTTGAAAAATGGATTTCAGATGTGCACTTATCAAATTCTCACAATCTTGGGGTGTGGGTGCGTGAGTGTGAGTATGTTGATATTCATACAAAGACACCCACACCTATAATTTGCCAAGACAAAATTCATGTAAACCTTGTGGATTGATCTTTCAGATTTACAAAAGCCATTGAAATTCAATGAATTTAAAGTTAAATTTAATCTTGAATTATATAATGCTAAATCATTACCAAGTGATATTCAAAAAAAGTTAGATGATAGATGAAATAATTTATTGACTGATAATAAATGAGTAAAAGTTTTGTTTAATCAACCAAAATTTCGTTTGCATTTAGCTGAAAGAAACATTAATAATTAAGATAATTCAATCGAACTTGTTCTTAATTTGGATTTAACTGATTATAAATCATTTATTTGTCCTCAACGACAAGATCTTCCAGAAGAAATTCGTCAATATATAAGAGAAGATCATTTATCACATGCTCTTGGTGTTGCATGTATTCTAATAACATCTGATAATTATATTAGTTTAATTAAACGAAGTTCTGCTTCTGCTGATCTTCCAAATACATATGATATATCTGGTGGCCATGCTGAACCAAAGAATTTAAAAACATTTACTAAAGAAAATATAATTAAAGAAATTATTTTATCAACTATTGCTGCATGTGTTAATGAAACAAATGTTGATAGAAATTCTCTTCTTATTGATTGACATTTTTATATTGTTACCATTATGCGAAGTCAAAAACATTATGGTCGACCGGTTTTTGAATTTTCTCTAGAAACAACAATGACATCAAATCAATTACAACAACGTTATACTTTACAAACACAACCTGAAGCATATGAAACAAGTGAACTAAAATTTTGGCCTATTCATCAAATTTCTGATCTTTTAAGTCCCTCGAATACATCAGTACCAATTAATCCATCATACCATGCTGCTTTAACTGCATATGTGAGTTTATTTTGTTAGACTGAAAAATCTCCAATCAAAATATGCATTGTGATGATGAAATAGAATTAGTGAGAAAAAATTTAGTAAGTTGATTGAGTAACACTTTTGTAAAAGTAACAAGAAAATAAAATGAAAAAGATTCAGTTCGTTCTTTGTGATCGTATAGCTAAAAAAAGCAAAGTTGCACTTAAGTATGGCTTGATAATCATGTTTTGTTAGATCAAGATGATCAAAGATTGATGGAAAAAAAAATAATAAGAAATTTTATAATTTCTTTGCACTAGTTGAATAATCAATCAAGAGAAGAGTATTGATGATCGTATAACTGATGAAAGTTTTTGAACTGAACAGGAAAAGAAAACATAATGTGCAATAAACGTATGAATCAACTAAATGAGCTGAAACCGCTGAATACGATGATTATACAGGTCAGACACATACAGAAAAGTCTCATTGAGGTTCAGCGCCACATTGACAGCATAATTGAACAATAATGGAGAAGTCCCCGATTGACCAGCAATGCCAACGACAGTGACTCCTCTTGTTGCTCCAATAATCCAGCGTATTACTCGACTATTTCCTGTGTCTGCTATATATATAGCACCTGTTTTCTTTGAAACACACATGCCCCATGGATTATTTAATTGGTTATCAGCTGATCCTGCTCCATTTCCAGCGGCAACAGTAGTAGCGTTTGTCGAAGTGCCCAGTGTTATTCTCTGAATGCGATGATTGCCATTATCGGCAATGTAAAGATGCGAATGCGGTTCATCGAGGTAGAGCCCATATGGATTATTGAGTTGATTACTGTTATTACCCATTATACCCGTTTGGCCTGCCACAAGCGTACCGCTAGTGTTATTCAGAGCCCATTTCACCACTCTATGGTTACCTGTATCACTCACGTAAATGTTTCCTTGGGAGTCGACAGCAACTCCAGCCGCTACGCTTAGAGTATTCAGTGTACTTCCGAAAGAACCATTACCAGCTGCGATAATACCACTGGACGACATGTTGCGCCAGAGCATTACGCGATAGTTAAAATCATCACTCACATAAACGTTCAATAATGCGTCGATGGACACTTCTGCTGGATTTTGCAACTGATTAAGATTATTACCATGGCTTGTGGAACCTGCAACTTGTGAGCCAATTGTAGAACCCTCCTGGAGCCGCATCACTCGGGCATTAAAGTATTCACTGACAAAGAGCGAACCATCAATACCCACAGCTAATCCCCATGGTCCATTGAGAGAGTTGTTAGCCGAACCTGCTGTACCATTTCCATATCCACCAACAGTGATACCATTTTGTAGAGATAGTGCTAAAAAACAGAGACGAAATCTTAAAACAATGTTGATGAGCTTCTATCTTGAGAAATGTAAAAAAAAATCTGTATTAAGATCTAAGACAACAATCGTCTTCGTAATGTTATACAAAACTATTTTCTTAAGGTTTAGTCTTGATTTGGATAAATAGTGATTGTTCACATTTTCTTTGCGCTACCGATTCATCTTCAATTTTCACTAAAACATCGTTTATTCAATAGTGTACTTATATAGCATTATGAAAGTAGAATGATCACTCAATTTCGAATAATGTGAACCAACTAAAAGTTTTTATTTATATATTTAAAGCTGCATGTCAAGTGTTAGTTCCATAGAGATTTACATTATAACATAGTAAAATATGTGCTTTCATTGTTTTTGGCTGAGAATTGGACTTTTCTCAAAGGAAAAGTTGATAATGAACGAATTGTCTATCTCTATCAAAGATTCCTATGTAAATAATAATACTTACGACCACATTGCATGCGTGGAAGACACGTGTAATTGAGATCGGTTCGACAATCAATTGCATTGATACATATGTCTCCTAAGAGTTTCTGACTTCGGCAAATTGATCCATCGAAGTAAGTATTAGCCTGACATTGACATGTCGAATTAAGGCATCTCAAATACCGACTATCTTTACAAAATGAACACGGCTGACCAAGATTAGCGAATTGATTGGGATTCAGTTGGATTGACGCGACACGCGATTGAGACGATGACGAAGAAATAATAGAGCCTGTTGTATCCGAATCGCCTTGAAAGATGCGGCAGCGATGTGATTGATCATCGAAGTCAAATGTACGACAAAGTGCCGTGTTATGACATGTTTGAGCACAGATTTTAAAGGCGTCAACAATGATTTCGAACAAGAAAAGAGCTGCGTTGTCAATAGGAGAGAATTCAAAACCCGAGTTGGACAAAACGACAGTTGAGTGCCACTCAACAGATGTACTTTGAAGTTGACCAGGTACTAACATGTAATTGATTAGAATCAGTAAACGAAGATTGATGCAAAACATAGTCAGATTTCTATTCGATCGTATGGAGAGCAGTTCAACCTAGGTTAAAATACAACAGAATTGTATTCAAGAGGGTAGAATCTCAAAAGAAATACTTTTCACTGAAGGTTCTTCATAGAAGAATTTATTTTTAATATCATCATGGATAGGAGTACTCTTACATCTTGTGAATGATTCAGTTGAAACGAATGATTCGATATTGAAAGAATTGTGTATACTCTGGCTACAATTCGTTCTGTCACATGTTGTTCATTGTCATTATCTCAGTAGCAACCTATCTTTTTGTCTGATCAGCTATTAACAGAAAACTAAATCGATCTCTCGAAATCAACCAAAAAAAGTAAAAAGAAGCAGAGTAGAAAAACAGTAATATGCTTTTTTATTCGTTCTTCTTTGATGATCAATAGTTATTTAGTGAAATCTAGCGCTATTTCATCACTTCCAGCAATTGTTTTTTTCATCTATAGGGTGTCCAGTAAGTCCTTAAACAAAGAAAAATTTGAATATCGCCATTATGGCTGGACCAAACCGGCTTATTTTTTTTACAAGGATGGAAGCATATTCACACTACAAATCAATACAGATAAAGTTAGTGAAAACCTTTCTTATGTATCACTATTGACTTCAACAAGAAAATTTTACTTTTTATAGATAGAGGAAAAAAACAATATATTTGAGAAAGCTTCTCACTAATCTTGTCCGTATGGATTTGAAGTGTGAACATACTTCTATTCTCGGTAAAAAAGAATGAGCCTGTTTGGTCGAGCCGTAATAGGGATATTCAAAATTTTCTTTGTCTAAGGACTTACTGGACATCCTATATAGATATTTTATCATATCAAAAAAACAACAGACGTTAACACTTTAAATCGTATAGGAGTAGTAGGAGAAAAAACTGAAAAAACGACATGAATAGTCTGTTTCTACCTCTTTAAGAATTCTAATATCCACATAGAAGCAGACAAACATAAAAATACTCGTGAAAAATGTATGTCTAGAAGGAGTAGAAGATAATATATTTGTGGTTGGATACTTTGCTGGAATGTAGACGATGTTGAACATTTATTTAGATGAATATTTTAGTTTAGAGTCAAAGGAATCAAATAGAGAAAAAGTTTGATTTGTAACAAATAAATGATTAGATGTTGTGTAAAGGTCCGCCATTTGGTTATACTCAAAAGCTGGCAGTTTAGCAACGTAACTGAACTTACATTGGTAACGAGTCACAAGCACGAAAACATTTTGGACTGTTTATTATGTACCAACTGTTAAAAAGAAAACGAAATTGTTGAGTAGAGCTTGTGTGAAAACATGATACTTTCAGAAGACAAAATAAAAATAAACTCATGAAAGATCTGCCAAAACTTTTGTTTGTTGTAGTGGTCTACAGATATTTAAAAAAAGTAGGACACATAGAGACGTCAGTGCTATTGAGAAAAGAAGAAACTCAGAATAGAAAGAGTATAAATACGTGCAAATAAACTCTAATTTTGAAATTGACTTCTTTTTGCCTTCCTCTTCCGTCACTTATTATTATTATTTCATTTCTATATCAGATCAGAAAACTAATTGCAATCTATCAGCAGCAATCATTATTTCGCAGTTTTTTTTATTCTTCAATGGAATTCTTCAAAAATTAAAAGGAAGGAAAATGGATACAATGTTGAGTCTCTGAACCAAGTTGAATCGTTCGATAAGATGAACACGAGATGACTGTATCTGTAGGCATCGAAATTGAGGATTCAATTTTATAATATTACCTCAAACAGATGTACCAGTGATTGCCATGAATAATTATATTTTTTTTAAATTAATTCAATTTGATTCCTAAAGAATTTTCTAAAATTTATTTAGGCATTTTTATTTTCCTGATTCTTCTCTCATTAAATTTCTTTTCGACTTTTTCAATCGATTTGCTCTCTTGGTCTTTTTCCATGATTAAACATTAGTATACATTACAGGTAAAGTGTGCATACACGATCAAACTCTCGTTTTGTCATACTGAAATGTTCTATAAGTAAAGAATAACATATATCTGATATAAGAAGAAAAGCACAGTTGTTGGTCGACCGTTTTATAACAATATGGTACACTCGAGCAAAACCTTAAAAATGAAACTAATGAGGCATTTATTTCTTTATGTTCTCTTGCTTTCAGCACATGATCAGTATTAAATATTCTATTGAATACTAGAAATTTATTATATTGTAATAGGCACGATGCTTGAAACATGAAAAAAAAGTAAGAGTAAATGCAAGAAAATTAACATTTTTTTAAATTGTCGATCTCTTTCTCTTCCACTATTCGTCATTGTTTACCATCAAAAAAGTTAATTACAGTTCACCAATGACGATAATTTCAGGTACAATAAAAGTAAACACGTATAAGAAAATACTTTTTTTTTAATTTTAAACTTCTCTCACCTCTTATATTTATAAAATAAAGTCTTAAGATCTGAAATTGTTGGGTACAGTGCGCCTTTCATGATTTCTTCTATTTATTCTGATTGTTTTTGTGGCTACCAAACAATATGATCAATGTCATACGGTTACTTGAGGGTGTGGGTGTGGATGAAGGGAAGATTCATATACCTACACCCATGGATGACTTTGAACATCGACATGTTGATAGTTTTAAAAGAAAAGACTTTGAGAACCTCTCGGTCCTAGTCTATCTTTAAGCCCTAAATCTTTTATCTAATGAACTCTTTTCATCAATATTGTTTGAAAAAATTCGAAAATAAAATAAATTGTGGGAAAAACAACTATAAAAAGAAGATTTCATTTTTTTGTGGGTAACATTATGAAGTCAATCGAAAAAAAAACTATTGAATGTAGTTCTGCATTCCGACAGAGAATTGTTTGGTCTCACTGGACTCTACCACTCGCTAGAATAGGCAGCAATAGAACATACAGAAAAGAATTCATGTCTTCCTCTGACGATAGTTTAACGGATATTTCACGTGAACTAATATATGATTTTGTGTATATTTTTTTGAACTATTGATGTGATGTTGACGGGCATAGAATTTCAAATATCTTAATGAAGAGCGATTAAGTTGTGAAGTGAATGATGAACCTCACACAGGTAAATGTTATTTTATTTTATTTTAGACACCTTGTAAACAGAATAGGTAGTGATATGAGCGAAGAATTTGTCATCGTATATTCACCATTTCATCCGTAAGCCTAACCGCTAAGTCGTCGACGCAATGTAACAACTGATAACCCATAATTGATCGTCATCGTAAAATCTTCGATTTAAAAGACGAATTTCTGTAAAATTCAAACAAATTTTCTTTTTCCATGTTAGCAATTTCTTGGACTACGTTATAAAAATCGCCCCATATCGGATGAAAGTACATTTATTAGTTAAGAAAAAATGTGTCCATAGGGAATATTTTTTTTTCAGTTAAGAGAGAATAGTCAGTATAAAAGAGAAAGACATCAGTAATGTGTCGATATACTGGCGCTTGAAATATTCTAAGTGATAACTTAATGTTAAAGTTTAATGTTAGAATTGAGATTTCATTTTAATCATTACTATTAGAATTATAAACTAGAGTAACTTAGAAAGCTACTAGCAAAGTTACTCGTTGTTTGACCTTTTGGTATACATATTTCGACTAGGGGTGGCACTTTATCTTTAATCTACTTTGAAAAAGTAAAGTAAAGTAAAGCATTTGACTTTACTTTATTGAGTAAAGTAAAGCTACTTCACTTTACTTTACTGGTAAAGTAAAGTTAATCTACTTTACTTTACTCAGTAAAGTAAAGTAGTCCTACTTTACTAAAAAAGTAAAGTAAAGTAAAGTAAAGTAAAGTGAAATATTTCTACTTTATCGATAGGATAAAGGATAATAAAATAGAATAAAATAAAGCACATAGTCTTTTATTATTAATTGTTTAGCTCATCGTCAAGCATTGATAATATTGTGAAATGTCAAAATCAAAATTTATCAAAAAGGAGTTCTGTATATAGTAATTTAAAAATAAATGAAAGTTCAATTGAAACATCAGTGTCTTTGATACATTAATATGTTACAGCATGTTTGCCCACTGTAATAGTGTTGACATATGTTTATAAGAAATATGGAACATGACATAATTTATATAAACAGGAACGTTGGAAATGTAGTTGAGAAGGTATGAAATGCAAGAGAATTTTTCAGATTCATGGCAACAACATAAGAAGAAGACTAACTAGAGAAAATCATAAGCAGATATGACAGCTATTCTTTCTTTAGTTTTACAAATTCCCAGAGATTTAATGTGGGCCCAAAGTCGCTGCTTACTAGATGACAATGGAAGGAAGCTTGAAAATAGTTAGTGTCGTTTTAGTTAGATATCAGAAGGAATCTGATTCTTGATAATAACAACATCGTCTATGGCTATGACACCCTTCTCAAGTAGACTTCCATTATTTCTTTTACGATGTTAGTGTCATGTGCTTTCTTGTTAATATTGATTAGTCATGTTTATGCCCGTATTCTACTCCGAGTTTTTGCGTCTATTATCTATTATTTGCCACCGAAAAAAATAATAAAGTTCGGAAGACTTGATCTTCTACCAAACAGACTAAATAAATGTAAACTTTTGTATAAACCTGCTCATATTGTAAGGCATTTTGTTTTTTTTTTCTCAAATCTATCATAGTTATTTATTTCACTCTTGATGTTGTATAATTTCTTCATGTAAAGACTTCGGCACTAGAGATGAGTCTTTTCGCTAATTCAACAGAAAGAAAAATTAGTGTTCTAGTGTTTTTGCTCTTCAAAGTCATTTAGACTTCGAAACAATATCTCTTCAAATAGTGACGCTCTATTTTTGCTTTACTTATAAAGAATTAAATTAGCCCTTTGTCTTCAACTAATAAAAAAACAGTATGGCTGCTACATTCATAAAAATCTTCTATTTGATTTTTTTACTGAACCATATCTTTGTATTTTCAAACAAAATTTATTTTAAAAATAATCTATTTTCTCTAAATGAAAATAATTAGTGCACATGACAACCATAGAAAATTAGCAAAGGAAAATGTCTTTTTTTTAATGCCAATTATGAAGAAAGCAAAGCTGACGATATAAAAAATGCATGTGTGCTTTGCCATAGAAATACAACAAAACAATGTTTGTACAATATCTTGTTTTAATTCTTTCCTTCTTCTAATATAACGATCTGTGTATAGGTCAAAAGAACATAATAAAAAAAATCCTTGACTCAATTTTGTTTTCAATTTAATTTTACATTCCAGCATAAAAGTTCATCAAAAAAAATTTTTTTCTTGAATAAAAGACTTATTTTGATATAAAACATAAAAAATTACAAATAAAAAATGAATTTTGACACACAAACAACTACCACCGTCATACCGGAACGCCGATTAAGATCGAAAACTAAATCCAGCATTACGTTTCAAACTTCAAGTTCTGTACCAAAGTCAAATCGTCGTAATCATTATGATCGTTCAAAATCGACAACAGAAAGTCCTATATTGGGTCGAAGAACGTTAAAATCAACTTCAAAAAGAAGTTATTCTAGTCAAACTTCATCGAAATCTTTGAAGATGAACAAACTGATGGTATTATCTCGAGATCATAATAATGATCAACGAGATGAATCGAGTAACGAAATGGATTATGATCTTACACAACAAATAGCAATATCAAATTTAGCTACCGATGAAGTTATAACAGACAGAGTTATCGATGATGGTACATTAACAGAAGATGAAGATGAAAATCATCATTTAAATTTTAGTAGTGAAACGATAAATGAATTACATCAAACAAAACGAACAACAACAGTAACAAGAAAAGACGTCCTGAAATATTTTACAAGACAATCAGATGGAGGTTTCAAATGCAATTTGTGTACTGATTCTAATAAAGTAAGTTTGTCCTATTTTCGTTGAGAGTTCGTCTTTTTTTAAAATTTCACGTCATCTTAGTTATCTTTATCATAGAAAACAACTTTTTAAAGTAGCAGACAAGACATCCTGCAGACGACTGTGAGAGCAGAAAGAGAAGTCGGCTCAAAAAAACTTACAGTTGGCATTGTAAAAAATGGTATAAGAATTGACAAAAGAGAACCATATCATGAAAAACTTTTTATACGAGTATAATAAATAAGCAATGAGCTTCTGATACAACTAAATATTAAAATGAAAGTATTTACTTCTTTTTCAGTTTTATTTTTATTTCTTTATCTTAAATAATTTAATATTTCATTCTCTATGTATACCAGACATCGTCGTTGTATAATATGTTGTTGTCGTTGATCGACCTATAGGGATTAGAAGAGATATATCATCATGTTGATCCGATTGTTGCTTAATATCAATTAGGTTCATTTAGAAGAAAAGACTATCGTATTATATTTTCATTGTTATTCTTAAATACTAAAAAAATAAATGCATGTGCTGTACATATAAATACAATGTAAGATGTGGATACTATTATTAAGAATTAAAAATCAGATGAATTTCAACAAAGTGCTCATATGTACGGCACACGCATTTATTGTTTTAGTATTTCAGAACAAAAATGAATACATCATACGATAGCCTTTTTTTTCAAATGAATCTAATTGATATTAAACAACGATTGGATCAAGATGATAATATATCTCTTCTAATTTCTATCGGTCGATCAACGACAACAATATATACAACGACGATGTCTGATATACATAGAGAATGAAATATTAAATTATTTAAGATAAAGAAATAAAAATAAAACTGAAAACGAAGTAAACAGTTTCATTTTAATATTTAGTTGTACTAGAAACTCATTGAAAAAGAAAAATGCTGACTTTCGCATTTATGTTTCTCTTCGATAAAAATATTTTATAAACTATTTAGATGCATTTGAAAAAAATCTCATACTATTTAAATTGATCATCAATTCAACAAATTGAATGAGATAATATATATTCTGAAATATTTCATCATATTAATCACGTGAAAGATCAAATAAATCTCATAGTGAGATGTGTTTGCAAGGTTTGGTATATATGAAAACTATGGAGCTAAACCGTCATCATGCATAACTATAGAGAAAAGCAATTGATGTTCAATCTAATAAAAAAATCGAAGTTTCAGTAAAAGCTATATTGAAACTTGGTCATGATTCACTGCGAATATTTTGCTACTTGAACAAAAAAATATAGATCAAATCTTTCTGCAAGGGTTGTTATAATTTCCGATAGCTTTTTCTTTATATGACAATATGAGCTTCCCCAGATTTGCATCAACAGAAGTCTCTAGAAATGTGTCACGAGAAAAGAACATCGCTAGATAGTTTATAATATATTCTGCAAAAAGATCTTACTTTTTAAATATTTAAAATAACAAGTGTTTTGTTTCATTATCCTTTATGTTTAGGTATTTTCCAAAACAAATGAAAATTCAGATACTAATTTACGAAGTCATTTAGGAAAAACACATAGAATGATTGATTTTTTATATCCTTCTCAAAAAAATCAACAGCCACCAAAACCATTGAAAAACCTATCTACTGAAGAAAAAGAAAAACTTAATGCTGCTGCAATTGAAGCTATTGTAAAAGATGCACTTCCATTTGATCATTTCAGAAAACCTGGCATGCTTAAGTTTTTATCTACTATTAAACCCGGCTATCGAGGACCACATCGAAAGACCGTTCGACAACACCTTGCACGTTTATATCAAAAGCAACGACAATTGATAAAACAAGAATTAACTTCTATATCACATATTAGTCTTACAGCTGATATCTGGAAAAGTCCTGCCCGTCAACACTTTATTTGTTTAACTTGTCATTTTTTATCTTCATCATTGGAAAATCGTTCAATTATTTTATCATTTCGACGATTTCCTGATAAACATTCCGGTCAAAGATTACGATCATTTATTAATAATGAATTAAAAAAAATGAATTTAGAAAATAAAACTCGATCAATTACAACAGATGGAGGAAGTGACATCAAATGTGCAACAGGAAGTGCTGAATTTGGTATGCGTATAGCATGTTCAGCACACAATCTTAATTTGGTGGTTAAAAAAGCCTTATGGCTGTTTGATAAAACAGCATCAAAGTTAGTAAACACTTTTTGTTTTTATAATCTATTTCTCTAGGAAACGATAGCAAATGTCTGAGTGAATGAGAATAAAAAACAAATAATCATACGTCTTAAGAGAGATACAAAAATAGAACGGATAAACACTTAGAGAATACTAAAAGGAATGCATCGGCACGAGTATATCTTGTACTAGACTTCGAAAAATTTTCTTACTAAGTATACCAATAGCTCAAATTGTGTATTATAATTCTAACATATTTTATCATTATTCAGGTAATATCATAACGTTAAGAGCATAGAAAAAGTATTAGTGGCCTCACAAAAATACTTCTTGCAATAAAAGGTCTTAGATCTTGTATTTGTCCAAGTAGGCCAAGTGTTTAAGCGAGAATTCTATTGCATCCTATTTATTTTCATAATATTTTATTAAAACGATTTCTGATAAAAAAAAAGAAACAATTTCGAAGATTTGAGAAGATATTTTTACAGTTTGGTGTTTTACAAGTCCGAAGCTACTGATGATCTCACTCTTTGAAAAATTTTAGTTCGCAAGACTAAAATTAAACATATTTTGATGTAAATGTACCCCTCGCTTTATGTTCGACTTTTTCTAAAAATTAGTTGAGGAGGGTTTTATGTTATATCTACCGCATTGTTCCATCAAGGCTGAATGTTGATCTTTCTATTTATTTTTTACAGATCAAAGTCTTCGTCAACTACAACTGCTTCAAAACAAAATAATAATAATAATATTGATGATGACTATGGTGATTATAATGATTATGATGATTATGATGATTATGATGATTATGATGATCTTAATGATTATGATGATTATAATGATGAAACATCAACAATTGATGATATTGAAAATTCATATGAAGAAGATGTTAATAAAAATGAATCTAATAGTGATGATTCAGATGAAGATAATTTTCCAAATGATTCCACGATTATATACACATCATCAGATGAAGATTTTTCTAATGATAGTAGTGAAGATGATTGTCAAAATAAAACAGAGAATGAAGAACGAATTTCATTACAGGTTGATGGAAACAATCAACGTCAAAATAACGAACAAATTATCACCGAAACAGCATCTAATATTGATATATTACCAGCAATGATTTATAATTTATTAAAACGTGTTAGAACATTGATAACATTTATTCGAAAATCAAGTGTTCTCGATCGATATGTTCGTCGACAAATTCAATTGAAAAATATTCAAATAAAACGTCGTGCTGAAGAACAACGTATAAAGTTCGTCAAATTAAAAGACATCGTTTTAGATTTTCATATTAGATGGAACACAACATATATTATGATATCACGTTTTGTTGCAATTAGCTCCATCATTACTGATATTACATTATCACCAAATAGTGAAACTGGTTTAAAAAAACAACAATATCATAAGTTTCAAAAGTTATCGTTTTCTCGCCTTGATTGGTTATACTTATCAGCATTGAAATCTGTTCTATTTCCATTTTATCGAGCAACAATATTACTATCAGGTTCAAAATATCCAACTCTTCCATTGGCTTATCATGTTTTGAAAGGATTGAAAAATTTTTTAACAAAATTAAAAGATGATCAACCATTGGAAAATTCATTAAAAAAACTTTTATTAATTCAATTCAATTATTATTTTGAACAAGAAATACCAATGAAACAAAAACGTGCAACATTGGTATGTGTAACTATTTAACTCTCGAGAAACTTTAATAGGTTCTGAAAAAATTTATTCTTGAGACAAGCAAGGTTCTCTTTAATGAGACTTTGCTAGTAAAAATTTTCTTTAAGCATATCTTTATTTCAGAGAATCAATTTATTCTAGAAACAACTATTCAAAAATGAATAACAATTAAAAGGTTGTTGTGACGGCTCATTTAAAGAGCACATAAAATAGTTTGAATATGATTTTCTAAATATATAACACCCTAACAACATAATACTGAAGTAACAGAATGACTTTTAATATTAAAAATTGTCTTCACATATAACTTAAGCATCTCCACTAATTTACAGATATCTTTGTACAAGGAATGGATGATGTTGACTTTAACAATCAATTATAAACGACTACTGGCTTTATTTTATTGTATTTTTTTTTCTTTATGTTTCTGATACAGTAGAAATATTTCACTTTACTTTACTTTACTTTACTTTACTTTTTTAGTAAAGTAGACCTACTTTACTTTACCGAGTAAAGTAAAGTAGATTAACTTTACTTTACCCAGTAAAGTAAAGTGAAGTAGCTTTACTTTACTCAGTAAAGTAAAGTGAATTTACTTTACTTTATCCGCTAAAGTAAAGATAAAGTGCCACCCCTAATTTCGACAGCGTCCTAAAATTTCATTTCATAACATATAACTTATTTTCATACATCTTTACTGTCTTTTTAATGTGGTGAATTTCAAAACTTTCAACGAATGAAATGGTACTTCTTATCTATGACAAAAAAAAATTATATTTCAAATTTACAGCCTACATCTACATTACATAGTTATGAACTTTTCATCGTATTCCATGATTTCTCATTGTACTTACAGGAATATAGAAATACCAGAATTCACTATTTCCTCTTCGAGAAAAAGGGTGGGTGTGGGTATAGATGTTGCCATCCTCTCCTCTAACACCTGCACACTCACACCTATACCTGATCCACACCCTAGTTTTTAATTGTAGGACCATAAATGCAGAGTTTTGGAGTCATATATGTAGAGTAAATATCAAAAATGGTTTTATTTCCAGTTAGACATCGGTGGATATCAAAGATGATGCTGCGATTTCTCACAACTGTCATATGACTAATACAAAAGCATGAACTGACTAAGTTTTAACTTTTGGACATAATCAATATCAGTGTTTCAGAGTTTACCAAGATACATAATAAGTCGTTAAGATCTGCTGGTGATATAACAAATGTGTAAAATAGGCTTATTTGTCAATTAAATCAATGGTTAGACTAATAATAAATTATGAAAAGAAAATAAATACCGAATGAATAGCAACAAGACAAATAAAAAAGAGGGCCAGTCAAAAAGAAAAGTAAACAAAATTTCTGTTCGAAATGTATAAGTAAAGAGGACGTAGTATTTGCTGACAATCGAATCAATTATCGTTGGGAAAGAACTATCGTCTTTTGGAGAATTTAACACTTTGCATATTTTGTATTAGTATAATGAAACTAAATAAGACATGTAAATTCCATATTTTAGTCCGACAAAGGCTGCGCTGACAAGCTCTTTTCAAGTTAATCTTTAGTAGCGAATAAATATGGAACTTTGATATGCATTGTAGGAGTCTCGTAATCTCAAATATTCAATAGTGGAATTTTTTGTTAAAATGAAATCCAAATTATTATTCTATGTAGTTTTACAGAAATGATTTCTATTAACATTCGAAATCAAATTTTGAAAGGATAAATTTTTTTTATTTTGAATGAAAATCTACTCAGTTGTGTCAAACCTATAAGTTTCGAATGACATTTAATTCAATTTTATCGATGACTCTGCGTCTTTTGAAGTAACTCTAACCTATGAATGCATTAATTTTGATTGATTTATGAAAAGAAAAAAAGTGGGATTGAATGATAAATAATATGTGATTAATTTGCTTGACGATATTTTTGCTTCTATATTTTTAGTGCAATATACTCACAGTCTAATTGTTGTTCTTGAATATAAATAAGTCGATTTCAATCAATTTGATTATTAGTTACAATAATAGTTTTAGTAGTATCTTTTTGAGTAAATTGTTCAAGTTTTTGTTTAAGTTCATCGATATCATTGTCCACAAAATTTTCTTCTTCTCGACGATAACGAATTTCTCTTGTAATTGATTCAAATTGTTTTATTATTGCTATTCTTTGTTTATCGATTAATTCGGTAAGTTCATGTTGAGCTTTTTCTACCTTGTTGATTGTCATATTCTTCCATTGTTCAATTAGATTAAAAAGATCTAATGATAAAGAATTTGATTTTTTGAATTTTCGTATTTGATCAAGAAGTTCATCGTGTGATCGGACGATTTCATTGTCGAATTTTATCGATAGTTGTTGTTCATGTTCATTGAAATTCTTTGCACAAAAACATTTTTTACATCCAATGCAAAGGTATTTAGCTGAAGGTTTATTGCAGATTGAACATAGATTTGATTGATTTCCGGTTGCCATTTTTCTTAGAATAAAATCACTCGAATTATATAATTTATGAAAATTTTTTTCGTTCATGATTCGAATCGAATCTCGTTCAACTGTCTCAAATATGACTCAATCGGTATTTAATAAAAACAGGAAACATATAGGGTGTGAGTGTCAGTGAATGCAGGTCTGGGTATGGGTGGGTATGTGTGTAGGGCGTGGATCAGTGGCAGATAGAGAACACTAGCGACTCGCTAGACTATGAGTATAAGTGTGGATGTAGGTATTGTTGTATATGTGGAGTTGTGGATGTGGATATGGGCTATACATGTGTTGATGTGATTTTCAAGTATAGCTGTTGGTAGATTTTGATGTATTTGTGGTGTTGGGGTTTGGACGGGGATGCGGTGTATGATGTTAGGGGTGGATGTGTCACGGTGTCTGTGTTTGGGTATAGTCATGGGTACGTAGCTCTAAATGTAATTGACTGAATGGTTGAAGAGAAACATTACGCTACACGAACATCAACATCCCTACCAACATAGCCACTGATAAGGGCACCGACAAACGCACCTACAACCGCACTTATCACGACATCCACACTTAGACTCATAATGTAACTCACATCTACTCTCCTATGTACATATTATATTCGTATGGATCGGGCTGGTAAATTACTATCGGAATTTTAAAAGAAGGCACCTGGAAAAAAAGCTTATAGCTTTCGAACGAAAAGCCATAGTGACCTGTGGTTTTCAGCAATCAATAGAAGATTATAGGGGGCACATTTTTATATAAAAATCGAGGTTTAAATAATCAGTGATTGTAGAATCACTGAAAGAGTAGGCTAATTATTTGGTGAAATCTCAGCAGAACAAGCTGAAACTTTCAGCATATATAGCCTCACTGTACCCCAATCTTCGCTGAAAATATCATTGATAAATCTTGTAATGACGAGGAATGGTGAGCCAATCCTCATCTGGTCTTACATAAGACTCTTATTCAATCAAAATATTAGGAAATGGCCTCAACTTTTGGCTGAATAAATACCATAATCTAGACTTCATATCTATGCAATAGCATCGCACTTTGATCGTAAAAATGTACGGAAATAGCCAAAATTCGACGAAGAAATGGTTTTCATACAGTAAGTATTTTAAAACAAATCTTTCCAACTTTCTTAAGAGAAATGCAGAATTTAGTAATATTTTCACCGTCTCTTCTCGTTCATTTAATCAAACTATGATATAATTGTATAGATATGAAGTCTAGATTATGGTATTTATTCAGCCAAAAGTTGAGGCCATTTTCTAATATTTTGATTGAATGAAAGTCTTATGTAAGGCCAGATGATGATTGGCTCACCATTCCTCTTCATTACAAGATTTATCGATGATATTTTCAGCGAAGATTGGGGTACAGTGGGGCTATATATGCTGAAAGTTTCAGCATGTTCTGCTGAGATTTCACCAAATAATTAGCCTACTCTTTCAGTGATTCCACAATTACCGATTGTTTAAACCTTGATTTTCATATAAGAATATGCCCCCTATAATCTTCTATCGATTGCTGAAAACCGCAGATCGCTATGGCTTTTCGTTCGAAAGTTATAAGCTTTTTTCCAGGTGCCTTCTTTTAAAATTCCGATAGTAGTAATTATGTTATACAGAAAAGTTGAACATTGAATCGAGGGTCAAGTAGTCATAAGTACAAGCGTTACTTGTTTATAATTCAAATTCGAAAAATTAAACGAATATGTGACAACTGTAATGGTACAGTTTGGAACAGATTGACAGAGAATAATGTCAAATTAATTTGATGGTGTTCCAAGTTAGGAATAATATTGAAAGATTTAAAAAGTGGCAGGACACTCTTTCAAGAAACTTTCGAATATAGAATTGTCACTTTTAGTTCAAGCAGACTGTTTAATTGATAAACCCGAAATCTTAAGCAAAAGAACAATCGGAAAAAACCCGCATATTTTAACGAGCCATGAACGGATGAAAAAAAAATATATCTAATATCGTAAAAACATGTCGAAAATTTGAACGAAATTAACATTGTGCAGTTGCAATTTTTCTTAGATGTCATGGATTATATTGTTTAACGATTAACAAATTTCATTTCCATCCCTTAGCTCATTCTAAACGGTAACATGGCGTAGTTTTTGCTCACTAAAATGGCTTCTCTTTTGTTAATACGTTCTTGAGGGTGGATGTGGGTGTACAAGTCGATCTAGCCTACACCCACACCCTGTTCTAAAAAACGTTTTGTAGTTTATTTCATGCTGAAATAAATAAAATTTACATTATCATGAACATAAGACAGTTTTTCTTTAAGATGATACAAAGATTGCTAATTTTCAGTATAATTCATTTTTCAATTTAAATAGATATTGTCGAAGCTTCGACATTTCATCGTACTGGGTGAACCAAAATAATTGCAACATCGAGTATTTCGTAAATATCTCAGCATGGATAAATCCTATAATGTTAAATTCTGTTTTTAAAAGATGCACCGTGAAAAGCTCTACAAAAACTGTGTAAAGAAATTCCTATTGAATT